AAACATTTGTAGCTTAATAAATAATTTAATTTCTTGAATTTCTATGTAACATATAAATTTATTTTTACAGGATATATAGAGAGCATACTCATAGAGAGTAACATACTTATGAAATGACTATAAAACACAAATTATAATTCAAGTTTAAAATTTCTCATTTTTACACCTGTATTTGTCTATTTTCCTATTGCTATTCAAAGCAAAACCAAATATATAATTGTAAGTATTCTAAGAAAAAAAAGGAGCGCCTCCATCACCTACACATGAGTTACATACATTCTAGATTATATAAAATCAAAGAGGAAAGAGGGTAAGCAAAACTAAAGGGAAACACTACGTAAAATGCACTTTTTACTGACTGTTGAACATATCTGAGAGTGTCTGAGTTTAAAATTTGACTTGAACACCAGCAGAGAAAAATGACTCAATTCACTTTCCTATTTGGGTTCCCTCAAATTCTGAAAATGTAAAAGTCTTTACAATTCAATAGCAGATTACATGAACATATCTCCACTACTTTGGTGGAAAGAACACACCAAGGATTCTAGTTACCAGAAGCATATGCTGCAAAGATTATGGACAACTGTCCATGTATTCTAATATAAAGCTGTCTTCATCCCAGTTGATAATTATCCTAAAACACTCACATCTAATCTTCCCAAATTTAGTCTCTCATTGACTAGTAAGGATAGATCCAATTGACTTTGCCACATGTTCATGCACTATGTAATATGTCATTTTACATGAAATCTTTATTTTTTAATGACAAGCATGCCCTTTGAAACTTAAGGTTATCTGGACTATGAAGATTGAAATTTACACAACATCAATATTACATGTAATAATCTCAAGTTCATGTATACTTCTTCAGTTTCTCTTCATTTAGTTGTGGGGGGGGGGAATACAATGTAATGACTGACAATGATTGCCTTTGTTAGAAAGAGAATACTTTCAGGCTGTGGGCCCTAGGGAATGCATCAATGAACATAGTGAATGGTAGAAAAACAATAGTGCCTTATTTTACTTACTTTTATGAACAATTCAGAGACGAGTTTGTCAGTGGATTCACAGACTATTCAGAGAGACATTTACTAAGAGTCAGAAGGAAATTTTTCTTTTAGATATCTTATGTGTCTGTAATGTTGTAATGGGAATATGTTTTGTATTCTAAGCCTGGAAGGAAGAAATAATACTCAATGGAAGATTTGAGCTGAGTTCCTTCTTTTTAGTCTGGACATTTTCTATGCATGTGACTGAAGTTTAATGATAAAACATGCAGGTTTAAGATTAGGATTAACTCATCATCATCCTTCTCTTTACTCAAATTTAGCTCTGACAGCTCTTTGTATCTTAATTATCAACATAGCACAAAATGTCACCTTGCTGCCAATCATGAATAAAAAGGAAAACTTTAAATAACCACTTCATTCAGTTTATTCTCAAAATTTATACTGCCCCCAAATCATATCAGATATTCTGAACCTGGTAAAAGCTCAGTTGCTGAAAACCAAGCATACCACCAATTCTAAATCTTGGCATAACAAAACTGAATCCCTTTGGAAAAGCATGTCAAATGGTTGTTTCTTCAACCCTTGTACTGGATTCATTTTTACTTTTGTGTAGGAAACATGATTGAACCCAAATCATAAATAAGTTTAATGAAATAAGGCATCATACCAAATTACATGATTTCACATTCTCCCCAAATTATCTTTTGAGTAACTAAAGAAATGAGTAAACTATCATAGTAATAGTAAGTCAGTTCTCAGTTATCTGGGCATGAATTGCTTGTCATCATACAAAGTTTATCCTCACAAATTGCCCATACGTCGGGTCATATTGGACGAGGAACTGCCTTTGTTTGTTAAAAGAACAATAAGCATCCAGTGAATTTTTATGAATGAAGGTGAGGAATAGTACCCATAACAGAGCTTGCAAGAAGTTGATCCCAAAATTAAGGTCTATTATTAAGGATAATCAAAATTTGATTGGTTATTTTCTTTGCTCAGAACAATAAGGTGGAAAGGGTTTGTGATAGGGCAAGGAACAGCTCTGCTTCCACTGATAAGCTTCTTTTTCAGGGAACTCAGTTGCATTATTTATTTTTGAAATAACTGTATATATTGTAAAAAAATTCTTCAGTGATGGGGAATATGTGTCTGTAGGTGGGATTTCTAACCCATTTAATATTTCACCTCTCTTAACCAATTATGACAACAATGGGAATAATGACCAAGCAAGTTCATATTAGAGACAAGGATTTTCCTTTTCTGTGTCTGTGTATTACCTTAATTCCATTCAGTTATTTCACTTGTATAATATCAATAGTTTCCCTTGAATTTCAATAAGCTTTCTTCTGGGACTAATTATATAAGCTTAAACTAAATTTAAGAAAAAAAGAAATTAAGCACAAGGTAAAAAATACTTCTTAGAAAAAGAACTAGGGTATCATTCCAGAATCAGAAAATAATTTACAAATGTATGAATTAATGTTTTCCTAAAAATGGTGATCTTAATTTACACTAATGGTACCTGTCAAAGTTAATGACTATTCTAGGGTAAACAAAACTTAGAGTTTAGGGGTTGGCTCTCTGTTAATATTTTCTCATTATAAAATACTAAATTATAAAGAAATAAAGAAGAAACCAGTATCTAGATATTTAAGATTAAGTCATAGGGTTCAAATACATATATTAAGGAGAAAGTAATAAACGCAAAATGGTTGATTGGGTGTTTTGCTATAGAAATATAGTAGGTTCAGGTCTCTTAACTCATTGTGTCTTAGATTTATTTCATAGAAAAATCTAAACTTATATCAGTTGGCTGCATGAGATACAATTTTTTTCCTCTGCCTATAGGAAGCTTAAGGAATGAATTATAAATTAAATAATCAAAGATTTGAGCACCAGTATAAAGGGTAGGACACACATAGGCAGCAAGTAGAGATTACATTAAATAACCAGATAAACTCTTGAATCTATAATGTGTCACTTGGAGCCTGAGCAGTGATGGCTGAAAAACAGGCAATACCAAATATCACACATGTCCAAGTCCACAAGACCATTCTGTTCCTTGGCTTGGCTAACATATTCACACTTTCGAATGTGTTTTTAAAAATAGAATATGCTTATCTCCCACAGCCCCCACAGAAAAAAGAGAAGGATGAAACCTAAGCACTAGGGAAAATACATTTTTTTCTGTTTTTATTGTGAGTTCTAATATAAATTTTGTTAAATACACAGCACGTGAACACATGACAGTTTCCTTCATTTGTTCTCACATAGAGCTGATAGAGGAATACTTGGGAGGAATGTTTCTAAAGCCATAGATAGCTTCTCCATTTATTTCATTTTTTTAAAAAATATGACAAAGCATTAGAGGAAAAATGTTTCTTACGTTGTGAGAATATCAAATATTACCCATCAATCCCTGAATCATGCTATTCAAAGTGCTTAAATCTACACTAAAAATAGAACAAAAAAATGTACTCCGAAGGCAGCTAAATTAATGCCTATGGATGCCTAAAATATGACTGTGGTGTGATTACTTCCTCTACATTTATTCCACACTTCCATCGTGCACTTAAAAAAATAAAAAATGAAAAATACATAGACCAGGCGATTGCCATGTTTACAGTTTTCTGAGCACTGGGGGAGTCTGGAATCCAGTCCAATGAGGTGCACTGCCACCAGTCTTTGACAGGTGTCCATAGTACAAGTAAACAATGGCTTTCTTGGATTCTGAAAATAACCCAATGTGCAGAGCTGACCTTAAAGTTTGTGTCCTTGCAGCTTCAGTTCTGAAAATGTGACACAGATCCAAAGGGAACATGGGAATAAAGAACACATTCTAGAGAAGAACCGAGGTGAGTTGTCAGAGAAATAAACATTTTTTAAGCAAATAAAAATCAATGCACATCCCAAGGCTTACTGAGGCCTTTATATTATTACAAAATTCTTATACTTATCTCTTGTACATTTGAAATTCAAATTTACCCTCCCAGATGAATTATATAGAAGTTTACATTTTTTTGTGGCCAACTCACACGTTAGAATAGTGACCAAAACTGTAGACTTGTTTTCTTATTATATGGTGGTAGGAACAAACCAAACATACAATAGTCACTACACCAGCCCACAGACAATGACTAGAATGGAAGTTCCTACAATGAATCACTAAAGTAATGTAAAAGTTCTAGTATCAGTATTTTCATCACATTGATTTTTTTTAAAACTAAAAGCTACTTAGGTAATATTTCCCTTTAACAATTCTGCCCTCTGCAAGTTTCGGTATGACAGATTTTGCATTATCTTCAACATAAATATATATTAGCTGCTTATGTTACTGATTTCAAACATAAAGCTACACAGTAGGGAGGGATTTCCTGGGAGCATCAGCTTTCTGTTTCTGAAAGATAGAATTATACAGTTAAAATGAAACTAATTTTTATACAATAAAATTATTTTAAACACGTTCTTACCTAATTTAAAAACCATTTTGTGTAAATAATGTTTATTTTGAAAATACTGATTTCTCTAGGTATTCATATATTTGACCTCCTGAGTTCTTATTTAAACACTTGGATATTAATAAGTGTTACTTATGTTCACAAACTGAAACCAAACACTGGATTCTGTATGTAGTATTGAAAATTAAATACAGCGAATTAACATTTAATACAAGAGAACCCCATAATAAGTTTCACAGATTTGTTCTGACTCTTTAGAAAATAACATTTTGTATAATACAAGGTGACAAAACATATTTGATGACACATCCTGTTCTTCCCTTTGGTTTGGAAGCCTTCAATGTAAATTTCATTTTGACTTCTGTTTGATTCACCCTTTTGAGTTAACTTGCCAGGCATTTGCACATAATCTCATTTGCAGAAAAAAATACAGAGGGAAAAGAGGAAGTAGAATATCAAACAAAAACAGCCACAAACACATTCATGCCTTTCCAGGAAGTGATCAAATATAGGGCTTACTTTTTTTTTTGTTTTTTGTTTTTTTGTTTTTTGTTTTTGTTTTTTTGTTTGTTTTGTTGTATATTTATATATATTTATATATTTATATAAGGGTACATCAACTCATTTAAAAAACGGAAACAACACTCTTTCCCCCATATTCATGCCCTTGATCTTCTCTTCTTAGCACGCTGTTGTGGTCACTGTTAAGTGACTAGCACACTTTTGGGTCTGGAGTGTATTCTGACCAGCAGTGAATTAAATGTTAAGACAGTTAGACCCACCCCCACCCTTCCTCAGAATTTACACATCATGCCGCCATTAGAAGGGCAGAGGTGGGAAATGAGGTGGGACAAGGAAAAGATTGAGGGCTCTGATTGGCGGGGCCATCCTATGAGCAAGTGTTCGCTTCTTTGTCTCCCCTCAAATGGCAATGCTGGCAGTTGGTGCACTGCTCTCTGAAGGCCCACATGGCCCTGCTGATCCTAGGTAGAACCCAAGAGAGGATCCGGTGCTCCTTGTCCCATCAGATGGATTTGTCCAAGCACCCCAAGGAAATGTTAAAAGCAAAACAAAATCAAGAAAAGGAAATGAAACCCCTTCTAAAACTAAACTCATGAAGCAAAAAAGGGTTTTCTATCTACACATAAGTCTCTTCTTTAAAAAAATGTAAATTTACAAATTCCAGTGACATATAAAACAAAGTCAAAAATGTAATGAGTAAGAGAGGTGGTAAAACAACAAGACATTGATGCTACAAAGAAACTGCAAAAAACATATGTACAAGACCCTGTTTTTCCTCGTGTTCTAGAGATTGTAATGCATGTTTTTAACAGCAGCAGTCGAGGATTTAGTTCCAGGCACTGGACTGCAGACTCTACTCAAGCTCCCAGGGACAGGATGTCCCTTGCTTTTCTGTCACCAAATCACACTGGATATACTGGTCTCCCTTGGCAACAGTGGCAGGATGGCACTGTTTGTGTGGGCCTCGTCTGGATTCTGCTCCCTGCTGGATTTTGTCTGTGGCCGCTGCCCATTGATGAGTGTCATAGGGATGTTGCAATAGGTATGCTGATTTCCTATGGAGGTAAGAGGCAGGGTGCCAGTAGGAGGTACATCATACTCATAGCTTCGGTAGTAGTGTTTCTGGCGCATTTGTGAATGGTACGTGTTGTGAAAATTGGAACGGAGATCTGGATGGGCAGTGGCTAGAGCTGTGGAGGTGGCTGCAGCCATGGAAATGGCCGAGACAGTCTGCAGCTCCCCGAAAGGCCCCTGCTCGCTAACATCTAAAGCCTGCTCATGTGTAATGGGTTCTATCCTCTTAAAAGGCATTTCATATTGTAAACGTTTCCAGAACTTAGAGTTCAACTTGTTGCATTTTGGTCCATGCCACTTAATAACCGTCAGGAGCTTGATGGTGTGCTTGAGGGCCTCCACCTCCTGGTAGTTCATAATTCCTCGCAGTTCACTGCATTCAATTAGTATCACTTTAATTTCTCCAGTCACAAGCATGTTTCGAAGTCTGGTCTCCAGCTCAAAGATGCTCCAGCCCCTTCTGACTACGTAATTTGGGGTCATAACAATAATCAGCCGCTTGCTTTGATCTACACATCTTGCTACATCTTCAATGTATGCTACAAAAGAGAAAAGAGTGATCAGAATGAGTAAATCCAAAATGTGGTCCAGAAAGCCCTGGAAGATTCTCTTTCACACATGAAATGAGAATTGGTGTTTGTTGGGTAACATCTTGAGGAGATGAAAATAGCCAATGATCACTTTGAATAGATTAGGGGCTTTGCTTCTTTTAATGCTAGAAATATTTTTCCAGGCTTAAATTTCTCATTTGGTTTATTTAAATGTTAGGGCTCATCAAAATGAAATGCTTTGTAAAATGATGGAAGTACTACTTCAGAGGTGTCACAATTAAGTTTCAGATGAACACATAGCAACATTTCTTTCTTAACAATCTGACACATACAGTTTTTGAAATGAAGAACCAAAAGGTCAAGTTCTGTCTAAAAATGATGACTACACAGATAGACACAAGAAGATGCGAATGAAAACATGCACTTACTTCCAGTTGGAATTAAATCTCTGTCTGGTATAAACAACTTATATCCATAGTGCTTCTCAAGCATGTCAGGTAAGATTTCAAGAGCGAAGCGCTCTTCTTCCCCCGTCTCTTGATTCCACTGGTCAGGATCCACTTTGGTGTAGGACAAGTATGCGTCATAATCTTTATTGTCTGTCAAAAACATTACAGAGTAAAATTGAAGTCACTGTCTTACAAAAGAAATAATAGGATATGAAAACATTAACCTCTTTTCACAAACATCTCCAAATGTTTCACTTCCAAGGGATGAATGAAAGAAGCCTTCGTTAGTTTTCAATAACAATTCAATAATGCCAACTATTCTGGAACTAATTTGGAGGTGTAAGGGATCATGTTTTCATTTTGTTGTTGCTGTTGTGAGGGCAGTAGGAGAAAAATCAATGAAAAGAATAATAATATGTTAACTTCTATCATTTTTGATGCACACATCATAGAGAATCCGGGCTGCTTATAAAAAGCCACATATTTGGATAGTGTGTTCTTATTCTAAATAGTGGTACATTCAATTAATCCCGCCTTTAGTCACTTTACCCTTTTGAAAAAAAGAGAGAGAAAAGAAAAAAAACCGTGAGTTGCTTGACAGTGGATTATTTAATTTTTAATTTTTAATTATTTAATTTTTAAAGTTGGTTCTTGGATTTGGGGACTGTATTTTACATGTAATATGCTGTCAAATTATTTTCTCATCATGTTAATCAGTTTGAAAATAAGAATAAAAAATTACAATGTAAATGAATAAAACTTGGTTCTAAAATCTGTTCCTTTCCTCATTCTTCCCCCTTTTTACATAAGAATCCTTCAAATATTTGATGACATTATCATGCATCAATGAATTTCTCTCAAATTTTTTAAGATAAACATCCCAGATTTCTCATTTATTGTTTCTAAGAACAAGAAATCAGTTATCTTCTGGATAGTCTCTCATTCATCAATGTCCTTTTCAGGATGTGATATCAGAATTCATAATTCACCTCAGTTCTAATTACTGTCTTTATTATGAGGGAGGGCTCCTTAAACCAGACTGTAGATAGTAGAATGATTTCATGCACATACTATTTTCTTTCTTGGAAGCTGTTCTCTTCTAGTTTACCAGAAAGTTCTATAAAGTGTTAAAGTTTGCCCAAATCTAGGATTTGTAATGACTGGATCCTCATTCTTTGCCCTTTTTAAGCTTTGCCCTATTAAGCTTAAAAATATTTGAAAACTAGATCAATCTGAACACCAATAAGAACAGAGCACTGATGACTCAGAAGAAATGTAACAATTGTTCCACCAATACTGGTAAGTTCCAGCTGGATATCACTTTTGCTTACATGACACTTTTTCTGGTTCCCCTGCCTCTTCCATGGATGCCTCTCTTCCAACTCATAAACACTATAATTTCTCAAGATGTTTTCTATATCCTGTTTCATTTTTCTTTCAACCCACTTTCCCTTAAAAAAATCTCCTTTCTTCACATAACATTAACAATCACTTCTGTGTGGATGTCTCCCTTACATGTCCAATTCTGTTTTCTTCTCATGAACTACCAGTAGTCCTCTAGTTCTACCTATAACTTGGGCCCCTTAATTTGAATGAATGTTCATTATGTACCCTACATTCAACTTGCTCACAAAATAACAAGCTTCCCATCTTCACCTTTTATTTCACTTTAATTTTATTTTTTAAAAATTTCTTTATTGATTAAGGTATTACATATGTGTCTTTATCCCCCTATTGCCCCTCCACCCCCCACTCATGCCCTCACCTCCCTGTTGTCTGTGTCCATTGGTTAGGCTTATATGCATGCATACATGCCCTTTGGCTGATCTTTTAATAACATAACAATCTTATTTAGTCTCCAAACTTTATCTATATGTTCCACTTATCCCTTTTCATTTACCAACAATCTCATAGCCATTCACTAGTAAGAACCCTTTTGAGTCTACTTCCATCCTAGGTCAGGCTGTACTTGTTTTCAGTTGTTATAATTATTTTTAGTGGGTCTTCCTTCTTCTGGCCCATTCCACATAGAGCCACAAAATTTACCTTTTCAAACCTCACCACTGATTATGTTGATGATAGCTGAAAAATATTTATGGCTAACTATTGTCAAATTCAGTAGCTAAATATGCAATTTGTTTCCTTTGAATTTGAGTTTGATGTCTCTGAGTGTGGGGTGATCTCTTTTCCCATATATTACATTATTGTGCTTACATCTTATCTTCTTTCTTTGACCAAAAGATTCTTGACTCAGATAATGTAACTAGAGCTTAGTAGATGCTCAAATACATCAGATGATTAAATGAATGAATGCCCTTTCATTTGGGTATCGCATGGCTTATATCTTATAGCCAGTGTATAGATTTTCTCAAGGCCTGGGCCATTTCCTTTGAGAGAAGGCTTTAGTGGTACACACACCATGCTGCCTAGATGGGCTCTGCAAGGATTTGCTAGGAGGTGAGGAGTTGGAGTTTAGCAAGACTCCTTTCGAATAGTCTTGAAAAGTAATTTCTCATTGTGACTCAAGGGAAGGCCTTAGATTCCCTGTAAACTTCTCTAGAAAAGTGGTTTTCATACTTGAGCATAAATGACCACAATTTGGAGGGCTTGTTAAATACAGTTTTTTTCATTCAGTAGGTCTAAAATAGGTCCTGAGAATTTACATTTATAAGAAACTCTCAGGTGATGCTATTGCTGATTGAGAGACCACACTTTGAGGAACTCTTTTTGGGACAGGATATATAGACACCAAAGAGCTACAGTTAGCTGTTAGGTAATTAACCAGAATACCACAAAACATGAACACTGTAGCTCCAGCTCTATGATAATTGGTCCTTACATGACAGGGCATTTGCTCTCAATAAAATAGCAGAAATACACACTTTCATCACAGAGGGGATAGACTCTTGCCTAGAGTAATATATACAGTAACTACAATAGCTTAAATGAACCTCAGGATTTGCTGTTATGGCCTCAGTCAGTTGTCTATCTCTTTATGTCATACTAGAGGCCTGGTGCACAAAAATTTGTGCACTCAGCAGGGGGGGGTCCCTCAGCCCGGCCTGTGCCCTCTCGAAGTCTGGGACCCCTCGGGAGATAACGAACTGCTGGCTTAGGCCTGCTCCCTGGTGGCAGAGGGCAGGCCCAATCCCTAGGTGCAGTCCCTAGTCGGGCTCAGAGCAGGGCCGATTGGGGAGTTGGGGCGCCGCCCCCTGTCATGCACAGAGCAGGGCAGATCAGGAGGTTGCGATGCCACCCTCAGTCATGCTCAGGGTAGGGCTGATTGGGGGGTTGGGGCACCGCCCGCTGTCACACTCAAGACAGGGTCGATGGGGAGGTTGCGGCACCACCCCGTCACGCAGAGAGCAGGGCCCATCAGGGGGTTTGGGGTTCCATACCCTGTCACGCACAGTGCAGGGTCAATCAGGGGGTTGGGGCGCCGCCACTGTCACACTCAGGGCAGGGCCGATGGGGAGGTTATGGCTCTACTCCATCAGACACAAAGCAGGGCCTGTGGAGGGGGGGTTGGGGCACCGCCCTCTATCACCCACAGAGCAGGGCCAATAGGGGAGTTGGGGCGCCGCCCCCTGTCACACACAGAGCAGGGCCAATCAGGGGGTTGGGGCGCTGCCACTCTCACATTCAGGGCAGGGCCGATGGGGAGGTTATGGCTCTACCCCGTCACACACAGAGCAGGGCCCGTGGGGGGGGGGGTTTGGGGCGCCGCACCCTGTCACACACAGAGCAGGGCCAATCAGGGGGTTGGGGTGCCGCCACTGTCACACTCAGGGCAGGGCCGATGGGGAAGTTATGGCTCTACCCCGTCACACACAGAGCAGGGCCCTTGGAGGGTGGTTGGGGCGCCACACCCTGTCACACACAGAGCAGGGCCGATCAGGGGGTTGGGGCGCTGCCCCCTGTCACACACAGAGCAGGGCCAATCAGGGGCTTGGGGCGCTGCCACTCTCACATTCAGGGCAGGGCCAATGGGGAGGTTATGGCTCTACCCCGTCACACACAGAGCAGGGCCTGTGGGGGGGTGGAGGTTGGGGCACCGCACCCTGTCACACACAGAGCAGGGCTGATCAGGGGGTTGGGGCGCAGGACACTGTCACACACAGAGCTGCAGGGCGATCAGGGGGTTGGGGCGCTCCCCCTTATCAGGCACAGAGCATGGCTGATCAGAGGGTTGGGGCACCTTCCCCTGTCATGAACAGAGCAGGGCAGATAGGGAGGTTGTGGCCCCGCCCCCTGTCACACACAGAGCTGCAGCAGGGCGATCAGAGGGTTTGGGCGCTGCCCCCTGTCACACTGATCCCGGGGCCAGCTGGTTTGCCCTGAAGCGTGTCCTGGATCAGGGTGGGGGTCCCCACTGGGGTGCCTGGCCAGCCTGAGTGAGGGGATGATGGCTGTTTGCAGCTGGTCACACACCCTTCAGGGTGGGGGTCCCCACTGGGGTGCCTGGCCAGTCTGGGTGAGGGGCTGAGGGCTGTTTTCAGGCTGGGGGTGACTGAAGCTCCCAACCACTCCTTTTTTTTATTCTGGGCCAGCTTTAGCTTTGAGGCTTGGCTCCAGCTCTTAGGCCTCCACTGCTGAAAGCAGGTTTCTGGCCTTTGTTTACCTTCTGTATTTGAAACAATGTTGTGATCCTGCTGGCTGAAGCCTGATGGACTAAAGCAGGTTTCTGGGGTTTTGTTTATCAGCAGTGGGCAAACTACGGCCCGCAGGCCGGATCTGGCCCGTTTGAAATGAATAAAACTAAAAAAAAAAAAAAAAAGACCGTACCCTTTTATGTAATGATGTTTACTTTGAATTTATATTAGTTCACACAAACACTCCGTCCATGCTTTTGTTCCGGCCCTCCGGTCCAGTTTAAGAACCCATTGTGGCCCTCGAGTCAAAAAGTTTGCCCATCCCTGGTTTAGCTTCTATATTTGTAACATAGTTGCTTGGAGTTGCAGCTCAGAGGCCTGCAGCGTCAGGCGGGGAACGTTGGAGTCCTCCATCACTGAAGCAAGCAAGCCTCATGTTCACTTTAAGCTGCCTGGCTGCTGGCCACCATCTTGGCTGGCAGTTAATTTGCATATTGCCCTGATTAGCCAATGGGAAGGGTAGCGGTCACATGCTAATTACCATGTTTCTCTTTTATT